GCGGGGGCGGGGGCGGGGTGGGTATTAACATCCCCACCCCCGCCCCCGATTTTATTAATCGGAAAAAACCCGAACCCGAACCCGATAAACACAGGTTTTTCCCATCCAAATCGGGGCGGGTTCGGGTAGGTACCCACGGGGGCGAGTTAGATTGCCATGCCTAGTGTCATCACTATTGTTCATGTCATGTGGTAATGAGGACGATAATAATGATAGTGATAGTAACAATTAAGGACGATAGTGTAGTGGAATAAGTGCAATTAGTACCTTCTTATCACGTATCCCATTTATTTTGGGTATCCATGAATTTTATTTACTATTATTTTTATATATTTGCGTACATCCATTGATATCATAAATATTTATTGAAATATAAATTTTTTAAATAACAATAAAGAAATAAGATAAAAATAAAAATAAATAAATTGCAAATCATATATTTAGATTAAAATAATTATGCAACATATATTTATACTAAAAATAAATAATTATGACATATATATTTATAGTAAAAATAAAATAAATTAAATTGATTTATTTAAAAAAGTAAAAATATTTTTAATATTTTGAAAGTGTAATAATAGGTGGGTACCTATTTAATTAATTATTTATAAGTTGTTATTTATCTATAAATATTTATGAGTATGATTTTTTTTATCATTTTAAATGACATAGGTGATGGTTTACACATTATTTACTCTTAACAAAAAATCTTTTGCAAGATCAAAATTCTTAAAATAATAAAATTGTACATTATTTACCTTTGACTAAAAATGTTATTCTTAGAATTTTTTTATTTTAAATTTTAAAATATTTAATATAAATTAATATGATCAAGTTGAATAATTAAACAATATATATAAGTTCACCTTAATTTCTAAAGTGATAAGCTCAAAGATCTTGATCCTCAAAATTCATATCCCATAAGTTATCGAAGGTTTAAATAAAGTTAAATCTCACAACCATAAGATAAATTTATTTTTAATTCCTCAAATTTAAAATTATTATTATTATTTTTTTAATTTTTATAATTAGAAATTTTTTTTGGCCCCTTTAATTAAATATTATTAATAAATTCATGAAATATTGTTGCATAAAATCATTTGCATTTTTATTGTTAGTGAAAATACTATATAAAATTCACTATCTTATATGTCACAATCAATTATACCACTAGTAGTATGAGAAATTAAAATATTTTTTTTAAACTATAAAAATTGAAAAAATTGATTTTAAATTTAAAAACTTATTTATTTTAAATTAAAATATATTTAACTCTAGTAAAGGCATTTACTCGACTTACTTGAAGTGTCATAATCATATTATATTGGCTTAATTGTGCTTTTGATACCTCAAGTATAACACTTGTACAATTTTGATCTCAAGATTTTAATGGAGTAATTTTAATTCTTAAAAGATTATAATTGTGAGATTTTAGTCCATTAATTTTTAATTGAAAAATTTTGGTATCTCAAATATTATAATTGTACGATTTTAGTCTTTTTCATTAAAAATTTAATAATTTTAAAATTTATATATATATATATA